TTAGTGTTGAGATTTATAGGATCCAAAACATTACTGGGTAGGTAAGCAGGTAATGAGGATATCTGACATTTTTTAGACAGGATTTAAAAATTACCACTGTGTTTTACAGCTCAGTCCCTGTCTAAATGCTCAGAGGCAGAATTCAAGATGATTTCACATTTGGCCTCTACAGATCTTCAATCTTATTCTGCAACAGCTGGTACTGACTGCTCTAAAAACAAGATACTGCAATTCCATATGTTGCGTTGGATTTTAATCTCCAATGCGATTACAGGAACTCCCGTGAATATGTTGAACAAATAAACCCTCATCCAACATTTAAGGAAAGCAATATTCTGGACAAAAGGGCATGAAGCACAAACTGTGTTCTGCCAAAAAGCGTTGTGGACTACAACATCAGGAGAAATTCATCTTGCCAGATGATTTCAGATGATTACAGATACACACCTGGAAACCTTTAATTTTTATCTGCACAAAACTCACTTAGCCTTAATCTATCTTAGAATGAAAATGGTCCATTTGCTCCCCCAAACACAGGCAAACAGGATTCACTGACTGGTTAGTTTAATTAAGCATCATGGCTTAGCAACTTAGTAGTTGCTTTTCTATGCTTCAAGGTCATTTTGCAACCAGCAGCATCATGCATAGAAGATAGAGCTCAGTCCAGTAGCAAGGCAGGCAGTATCTTTCTCTTGGCAGCAGATTAACCAAGAAAGCATTGATACAAGACAATGGCACACTGCCTTCCTGAATATACAGATGAGTCTACATCATATTTACAAAGAGACAAGTGCAAAGTTGTTATCAGAGCCATTTTGCCCTACCATTTTAGAAATTTAGTTGAATTAAGGTCATGTAGCCACAGAAAAGAAAGGCCAGGCAAAAACATATTGACAATAAAATATGTCTGGCATATTGTGGACAATTTCAGCTGAGTCACTCAGACAATAATGGAGTAAATCCCAGAATTGTGAAAAGCAATCCCACCTACAAATTTTGGAACTATTCCAGTCTGCTTAGCACTTTCCATGGGGCATTTAAAAGGAATGCCCTTTCATCATTCTGCTACATGAATATTCTGCTTGTGCAGTTTCAGTCAGTTCCCAGACCACAAATTTTAAGCCTCAAATGTTATAGTATATTTTTCTTTTTTCTTCTTTCTTCCTTTTTTTTTTTTTTTTTTAATGCAAGATTGCAATATTTCATTATTACCGTGGAATTCTAACACTGCAGGGAAATGATCTGTATGTCTTTGAGAGACCTTAAAGCTTTTGTAACTTGCTGCACACAGATGTATTACCTTTAAGGTTTATGAATTTACATCCTCTAAGTCCTCTTTCCACTCTCCAGACAGGCAGGGGTATTAGGGTTAAGTTAAACCTTCACCTTTACTGAATGCTAACTTGCATCATTTGAGAAGGTCTAGCAGTATGTGTCGCTGACTGATGAGTCCTGCCATAATTTAGCTCCTTATTATCTGTTTGATCCTATTAAACAATGTGTCCTGTTTACATTCTGTTGGAGAAGAGTTTGAATGTGAGGCCTTTGTAACTCAATTGTCTGCCAGATGAAATTAATTTTCTCCTCAACATGGAAACAGACTCCCCCTATAAATTAGATCTACCTGGATCCTAATGCAGTTACAATAAATGTGGCATGCAGTTCCTCTCATTTTCTTTGTAATGATGTCATATAAAAACAAGTATTTAGATAATTGTTTTTCCTCACAGTTGACTTGTTAGAGTAAGATGAAAAATAGCATAACTTCTTTTTTTTTTTTAGCAAACTGTTTAAAACCCAAACTTATGTTACGAATTTGTGATAGTTTTATCTCACCTAGTCATTGTGCGACCCAATTACACTGTGCAATTGGAATGCATTCTGTGTCCTCAAGGATGATGAGAGAAAGAAATTTTTAGTACATATATGTGTGTATATATATATATACAGAACATATATGCAGAACATATATGTATGTATATATATTATTTAAACTTTCCTCAGAATCCCATTACTGAACATAACACTGTGACAGCATTATTTCAAGAGAAGAGGTGACAGCACATCCACTGATCAGCTTTGGCGGAACTCAGTCAACAACTTAGCACCTGAATCTAGAATGCCCTAAGCTCCCTCAAGTTGCTCTGAAGCACAGAGACAACAGATTTTCTGATACTAAATTTCCCAGGAATTCTAATGCGAGTCTCTTGGTCTTGACAACACTGAACTACAGCTACTACCCAACAGACATCGTATCTAGATGTTCCTCTTCTGGTCTTCCTGCATGCCCCCAGCCTTCAGTAACACCTCAGGGTAAACAATGTAAATTGCTGTAAATAAAATCAGGTTGAGCTTCCCTGGCTTTAAAGGACAGCCCCACCTTGCTTTCAAAATAATCTAGGCTTCAGTAAGTTTGTGAACTGCATTCACCAGCCACAACTATGATGCGCCATGGCATGGAAATGGCAAGCAGGGAGAGAGAATAAGCAAGAAGTCCGAGAGTTAATATTGCCACCAAAGTCCCCACAGCATCACATTGCAGCACGAGTTCTGCTCTGCCAGATAGTTCCCTACATTGCCTGAGGCACGAGACTCTCTCTGATCCACCCCTCCACAGACAGCCTGAACATCTCCCTACTCATACTTTCTCTGTCACCAAAGCTCTGGGGCTGGAGCATCTAAAACATTCTAGTGTGGGAATGCTTCTGGGGCAAGTTCTGCTTTCCTTTTGCTCCATCTGATGATATTTTAGATTGATAGGGTTTGAAAAGATTTTCCTTTTACGCATATGGAGCAGACCAGGGAGAGGGAAGGGTGGAGAAAATGTAAGAAACAAACAGTTTTTCTCATAGGATTTCTTACTTTCATTCTACTTTAAAGACTTCCTAATAAATGACTCTTGCAACCAGGCAGCTCTGGGATATTTCAAAAGGACAGGCTGAAATTTCTCTTAGGAAAAAGCCATTTAAAACCTTTTTTCTGAACATACTTCAATCAGTGCATACTGATGCCTTACCATACGTGTAAATCTGACACTTTCCAAGGCATACATGCTGCAGCCAGGAAGCAACAACATCCTTTTGCGGTCACACAACTCTCAAATCACTATGGGTTTGTGCCTCACTCTGAAACTGTAGGCATGCTCAAAGATTTAATCTAAGAGTCAGTTCTGGAAAATAAAGCGACATCCCAATGATACTAGAGGCCCAAACTATTTTCCTAAACCAACACAGAAGTTTCATTGAATCCAGAGGTTTCAAAGATTTGGTAATTCTCTAGTCCAGAGACTTCAGAGGTCTGCCAGCTCGCTAGTCCATCCGGTGAATATGGCTAAGACACTTCATTTTCTGCAGTTAATCACACCCTGATCAGGAAGAGTTTAAAATACCATCTAAATTCCTTGGAGTTAACTTCACTAGTCCTAAAAGATGACTTTCACCTGCTTTGGATGGGGGCTAATAACAAATGAAGACATAGATCTGCACATCTGGCAGCACAGGGGTACCCCTTAATCACTCTGCTACTCTGCCCTTCCATATGCAGAACAGTGTTCAAACTGCCAGCGTAGGGAACCACAAACTTGATGGGTCACTGTTCTTTTTGCTCAGGAGATTGAAAGGCTGACAAGTAAAGCAGATACTCCAGACGCTCAACAAATTCCTGTTCCACGTGTGAAGTCAGCTTCCAGGTGCAGGTTCCAGATAACTTCTCCTATATCGTGGTTGCCAACTGGGCTCATTCTAGCACCTACTGGGACAGTGCCATCTTTTCAGGCCTCTGCCATTGGCAACCACAGGACTTCTAGGAACACCAGCCATTTCAAACCGGGCTTAAAACTGGTTTGTGCTGCTAGAATTGGGCAAACTTCTGTACAGGTGTAAGCATGTGGCCACAGTACCATGATAACAGAGCCACCTCCTGCAACAATTACCTAGCTAGATTACCCCTTAATAAAATAGTAAGAACTGAAAGAATGCCTATAAATAATGAGATCTTAATATCAGCGCTATTGATAAGATTGATCTCTTGTAATGGGAGGAAAGATATTGTTCTGACAGAAATACGCTTGTCTTTATTTCCCAGAGGGGTGAAGTTCAGTAGCAGATTCAGATAGTCGGGATCTCATTTGCACGTGTGATAGTAGGCTCAAGTTCCAGTTAAGCTGATGGAAATGAACAGGCTCCGAGTTCTGCAACACTCTGCTTCCTTTCTCTAAATATTGCCTGAATCTTAGAACTACAGGTCAGTTGACTGCTGCCAGATCTGTCTTGTGCCATTTCTGAAATCTTTTATTTGTAACAAATCATTGGTGAATAGCAAACACTGCCTCCTTTAATATGCCTCATACATTTCATTCCTGATAAGATAGGATGGTTACAACCTTGTGCAACAGTGAGACAAGACTGAGAATAACCAACCTTTATTTACTTAACAGATCCTGACAACTACTGGTATGGTTTCACTGGAAAATTCATCATCTTCTTAGGTTTGCTTACAGCTTTGCATCCTCACCAGTGAGTGAAATCTTCCTGTAGCTGTACCACCCCAGGCTCTGTCAACTGATCCATTTCCATAAGCAAATTAATTCTTCAGTGAGAAATCTGCAAGTGAAGATGCTTCCAGAAAAGCAGCACTGGGGTCATTCTCCACTGCAGGGCTGAATCATCTGTTCCAACATGTCAGTGGAGTTGCCTGACAGGAGACTCCCTCTCATCAGTGAGATGTAGCGATAATTCTTCATCTATCTGGGATGTGAAATTTCTTTGGTTCTGCATTCTCAAACCGCTCAACTGAAGCCAATACCTTTTTCAAAGTTCCTAGATCTCTCACAAAGAGGCACATTTTCTTGACCCAATTTTCACAGTACTTCCAGAGTGAAAAACTTCAGAGCCATCCCCCAAGTCCTTACAGAATATGTGTTTGTTTTTCAGGTCTTACTCAAGGTACTAAGCAAGAATAACTTGACAACTGAGCAATAACTTGACAACTGAGCAACTTGCCACTGAAGGGTATGCTTTCTTTTATTTTCTTGCTTGATCATTACATTTTAGAGCCCATTCTGCACCCCTTTGTGCAGCAGTAAACAGTTAAAAGATGGCAGTAAACATGGATGGGAAAGGTGGAGAAACAAAAGCAAGGACCATCTGATAGGCACCATAATCATACCAGGTTCTCTGTGTTGTGATAGTAAAGACTACTTAACAGATCGATTGCACAGCTCAGGAAACATTTAAGAATGGAGAGTATTCACAACAAGTCGTGCAACCATATAAAAAAACACATCTCCTTCCAACGCCGTTTCTGTAAATCCCAGTGGCTGTCAGACTGTGGGAAACCCAAGACATTAAACATGCCTTTATCAGTCACAGGCTGACGAGACACAGGGCAGCAAGCTTGACAGCTACCCTTCACTCAGGCTAAATGGAAAACCAAGTAAGTTACTTTATGGAGGAAGATGGCAGGACATATCCAAAGTCGCTGCCCAAGTATCCAATGTAGGACAAAGATTTGCAGCGGTAACAGAAGCCAGGACACAGCTGCTTGAGCTTTGCGGGAAAAAAAAAGCAGCAGCCCAGCAGACAGAAAGCATACAGCTCTAACTGCAACCCAGAAAGGAAGCAGATGTAGAACTCTGAAACAGCAGCCTAGCCAGAGATGCAAGGTTGAGCATGGTTACAGAAAATCACTTTCTGTGTTCCTACAACATTCAGAGATGCAGAGAGGCACTGAAAATGTATGAATTCATATGTGGGTTTATTCTCCTAAAAAGGAAAGCCCAAGTGTTCAGGCCAGAAGCAAGCATTGTGAGCACAAGACATCGACACTCAAATGCTGCAAATGCTAATACAGAAACTCCATTCTTCCTTGATGTATAATAGTTCAAAAAGATAGCACAAATTCCATGGCTAAACATGGCCCTGTCCTATCAAGAAGAGGTATTTTCCTAAAATACAGACTTCAGTTCAAAAGGAAATTACTGACTTTATGATGAAATTACTGGAGAAAGATACCACAGATTGTATTATTCAGGAAGTGAGTATAAAATCATACTACTATCTCCTTAACATTTATGATCAAAGTAGGCATCTTGTCAAAACAGATATTTCGTTTACGCCTTTAGTTTTTCTTAAGAGAATATATGCATAAAGCTAGTTGATCTACACTGTGCCAAAGGGGCTATTTTGCAAAGGACCTGAATGGGAGGAGATGTATCCTCTCATAAACATGGCATGGGCAAACAGTGCTAATAAACAAAAGAGTTATTTAGTTTGATGCAGTAAATGGGAGTAGGTCTCTAATCCGGAAATACAGTAAATAATGATTACATTATTAGATAATTATTCGTAATTCACACAAATTTATTAACACTGTCTTTATTCTTTCTTCTTGTACCCTTTATCTTGCTTCTATCTGCTTGAGAGTGATTTTCTATTGAGCTAAATGCAATGGAATGTGATACTCTCATTAACTCACCCGTGTTGTATCACATTATTGAATAGGATGTGTCTTCAGAATCAAGATTTAAAACAGAAGCAATGCTGAAAGGAGCTCATCCATCCCCAGCCAAACATACTTGCTTCCTTCTGTCTGCACTGGTGTTTATACAACTGTGGTTCTGGCTGAAAAATTACACAACGCTGCAAACAGAAGATTCATGTTCAACCAGAACAGAGTAACATCTACGTGAGCACTACAGTCAGTGCAATGAAATAGGCCATGTATGCCAGGATGGTGGGGAATGATAAGCAGCAAAGACATTAGATGCTGCACAGATTGTACGTTTAAAAAAGCAATATCCAGGAGAGAAAACAGTGCACTGAAGAGAGATGCTTTTGAGAGCCTGCATGGAAACAACATTAACTCTAGACTATACAAAATGCATTCCCTTTCTCAGCTGGTTTATGTCTAAGATTTTATATAATCAAATAACATCTTTCACAGGCATCAGCCAAACTCAGTAAGAGACTTTGTTGTTTCACTTTTTGTCTAAGAACAAACAAGAAAACAGCAACAAAAGCAGCTTCCAGTCTCAAAAGTCAGTCTTCTTTTTATCATTAAGGCATGAAAGATTGCTTGCGCTTTACGGTGAGAGAGTGTAGCGATGGGACAAAGAGTAATGGCCTAAAACTTCAACAGAGTAAGTTTTGTACTAACATGCATTAAGAACTTCTTTATGGTAAAGGTGATGGAGCACTGGAACAGGTTGCCCAGAGGTTGCAGTTTCCTTCTATGGAGATAATCAAGACCGATCCGGATGCCCACCTGTGCACCCTATTCTAGGGTACCTGCTTTAGCAGGGGGTTGGACTCAATGCTCTCTTGAGGTCCCTTTCATCCCTGCGATTCTGTGATTCTGTGATTTAAGTGATGCTGTAAAAAAGTAGATTTTGAGAAATGTGCCTGCCAATAGTGATGGGAGTCCTGAGAGAGACTGTGGCATTCAGAGAAAATGAAGTGAGCACTTCTGACATCCTACTTAGATTCAGCACTGCATCACACAGTTGCACTGCAGCAAATGCTACAAACCAAAACTCAACTGAAAATAGTTTAATTACAAATCCAAATCAGAAAATTGGGAACTGAGTAATCAATAACAAACTTTGTACCTTCAGCATCTCTTCCTTCTTCCACCTCCTGGTTTACATACTTTTTTCTCTTAGCTGTATTTACTGTGACAAATCTGAGATTAAGAAAAAGCAAAAGAAATCACAAATCTCCTATGACACTGTACTCCATTTGACATCAAAGAACTTTTATTTCCAGTAGGCTGTTCTTTCCTCTCGAGAATGGCTTTTACTTCCCAATGTTCCATTGGGGGGAAAAAAAAGAAAAAAAAGTCAAAAAACATCTCCCTTCCTTTACCCAAAGGGATTCAAAAGAGAAGTCAGTCTCCTATTGGTAGGATGCAGCCTCCCAGCTCTGCTGGCCAGCAGGGAATCTATTCAGCTCATCCCCACACCTCTTCTTGAGCTGCTGCTGCCAGGCCCTGCAGCTAGGTTACAAACAAAGCTATCACTTTCTTTCCAAACTCGCTTTCGAAGACTTTTAGATTTTTTACAGTAACAGACTTTGTATTATGACATCCTTTCCACTGATTTTTGATAGATTCATTTGAACACTTATCATGCTTACCTGGAAAGATAATCTTGCACGCAACAGCACAATGTGGCATTAGTCAGGGCTCAGAGTTGGCCCCTGGACACATCTAGAAAGCATATGAATTCAAACGTTTCTTCTTTTTTTAAAAGGAAGAGTTAACCACTGCAGTGCAGAAAAAGGACTGACATACAAAGAAGTTACCACAAACCAGCAGCTCCGCAGCGAATACCTATGTACACACTCTCAACTCTTCCTTCTTCCTGTAAATGCAAGATATGCTGCTTTTAATTATGTCAAACTCACTACTTACTGGGTATTACAGAGAAAAGCATACACATACACAAAGCAAAACAACCACTGAAAGAGGTACAATGCATCAATTTGAATTATTCCGTTTACAAACAGTGTAGCCCTTGTACCTCACCACTGTGAGTTCTTACACAAACTGTGCATGTGCAGATCTAACAGGCCTATGTTAATAAGTGCATTCTTGTGTTTTATGAAACATCTGCCAATCTGCCACTCTTCTGGAAACTGTCACTGCATTTCTCACTGAGCAATAATTCTGATGACCTGTAACATAAAGATGATAATTATTTACAAATTGCTGGATTTTTTGTAATTTTTTTCACCTTTTATTTTGTCTTTCACTGGATAACTTTGGAGTAAATCTGCAAATCGTCTCTTATTGACAGCTGCATCAGAACTGACACCGTCAGGTTTTCAAACACAGAGGTTACACTGTGCAGCCACAAGGAGCCTTTTGTTGTTATTTTACAGTAGGTAGTAATGAAAGAACGATTATATACCCACAAACGTTGCTCAAATTATTAATGACAACAGTCTGTGCTACGGAATGGCTGATTTTGCTAAGATTTGTTACTGAATCCATTTACATTAGCTATCTCAGCTATGCAAACCATTCAAACTGCACTGCCTTTTGAAGAGCTTCACTCAGCACTTTGCAAGAGGCCTAACTACTCAAAAAACCTGTTTCTTTCATCATCTCTGGTGACTCCACCTATCAGCAAGTAGTATAAACTTTAACACGGAATAAAATTATTAAACATCTATTATTAAACATGAGACACCTTGGAAGAACCAAGACTGTCTGCATTAAGTACCTATCAAATGTCTTTGAAGGGCTCAGAAGGTCCGTGGATGAGGATGGTTTGGTTGATAAACATAGTTGAGTTGCCAGCAAGCTTCCAACCACACTCCTCAACCAGGCTTTTAAGGAAAGGTACTTGCATGGTAGAAGAGCTGTTTAAAGTCCTTTCTTTCTGGTCAAGGTGACCTCAGTAGACGAAGTTCACCAGCACAGCTCCTCAGAGACTTGTTGTGATAGAGCTGTCAGGCTCAGCATACTAGAAAATGGGGTGGACAAGATTATGATAGTTTAGTGATATTCAGTGTGGTGAGCATGAGGGGCAACAGACAGAACAGGAATTGGTCATAAAATAGCAAGTAGGATTCAATGTAAGTAAATGTAACATGATGTACAGGCAGAAAAGCAATTCTAACTTTGCACATACCTGCTCCTGCGTGTTTTCAGAGCTGACCATTAACACTCAGAAGTAAAACACTGAGGTTACGATAAGAAGTTCCTAAAGCATCAATTCAGTCCCCAGTAGAAATTCAAGACTCAAAGCAACTATCAGGATTTTTGTTTTTATTTTATTTTTACCGATTGTATTATTTACAGATATGGTACAATTTGACAGGATTTTTCAGACTGAAAAAAGAGACAACTGAAAGGATATAACAGAGGACTGTAAAATCCCGAGCACCTTGGACTGTTAAATTTTCTTCCAATATAAGGCTGAGGTAACACCCCCTGAAGATAACGGCAGTTCAACACAAAGAGGTGTCTCCTCACTCAGGGGCCAGCTGATTTCCTGAACTCCTTGCCAAAAGATGTTGTGAAGACTAGACAATCTTGCAAAGTGATCTGTCCAAAGTTTGCTAAATATACAAAACCCATAATCAGCTTGAGAAGTGAAAATGGTCAGAGGCTGTGAGAAGTGAATAAATAAGCATTTACACTTGACCTTTTCTTAGGCTTTTATAAGGTATTCACTTACTTGACTGGAGAAAGAATACTGAAGTAGATAGAACCTGCCTAAGTATAATATGGTCACTCTTGCTTTAAAGTCTAGGTACTGCTGTATGAAACAAACTCAGGAGAAGTACATTGATAGAAACTGCTATTTAGCTAGAACTGTCACCACAGAATGGCAGACAGCCCAGTCTACAACTTCTCAGGGTCAATACAATGGAAATCAGCAACACCTTTAATCCCCAAAGAACACACTGTATACATAATGCTCAATTGCTTTTATCTGTAAGTTGCTCCTTCTTTTGCCACTGGGCCCCATTCACGTGACTGACGTCCATTAAATATTTATAAGCATTGACAAGACCCCTCTCTAGCCTTCTCTTCTCCAGGCTGCACAGCCCCAAGTCTCTCAGCCTTTCCTCAAACAAGAGATGCTCCAGGCCCTCAATAATCTTTGTGGCCTCTGCTGGACTCTCTTTAGCAGCTCCCTGTCTTTCTTGAACTGGGGAGCCCAGAACTGGACACAGTACTTCAGATGTAGACTCACCAGGGCAGACTAGAGGGGGAGGATCACCTCCCTCAACCTGCTGGCCACGCTCTTTTTAATGCACCCTGAGATACCACTGGCCTTCCTGGCCACAAGGGCACACTGCTGGCTCATGACCAACCTGCTGACACTCAGGTCCTTCCCCACAGAGCTCCTTTCCAGCAGGTCAGCCCCTCGCCTGTACTCATGCATATGGTTATTCCTCCTCAGGTGCAGGTGTCTGCACTTGTCCTTGTTGAACCTCATCAGGTTCATCTCCACCCAGCTCTCAAGCCTGTTCAGATCTTGCCGAATGGCAGCACAGCATTCTAGCGTGTCAGCCACCCCTTCCAGTTTTATATCATCTGCAAACTTGCAGAGGGGGCCTTTTATCCCTTCATCTAGGTCAATAATGTTGAACAGACACTGTACTGGCCCCTGGAGAACACAGCTAGCTACAGGCCCCCAACCAGACTCTGCACCACTGACCATAATCCTCTGGGCACCAGTCAGACAGTTCTCAATTCACTCCACTGTCCACTCACCTATCCTACACCTCCTAAGCTTACCTACAAGGATGTTATGGAAGATAACGTCAAAAGCCTTGTTGAAGTCAAGGTACATAACGTTCACTGCTCTCCCTGCCTCTACTCAGCTGGTCATGACATCACAGAAGGCTGCCAAATTAGTCAAGTATGATCTGCCCTTGGTGAATCCAAGCTGACTACTCTGGATAACCTCCTCTTCTTTCACTTGTTTGGAGATGACATCCAGAGTGACACTGGCATTCCTCCAGTTCACAGGCACCTCTCCTGTTTTCCATGACCTTTCCAATTAATGGAGAGCAGCTTGGCAATCATCTCTGCCAGCTCCCCCAGCATTCACGGGTGCATCTCATCAGGGCCCATGGATTTGTGTGCAGCAAGTTTGCCCAGATGATCCCTGACCAGGTCTTCCTTGATTACGGGAAGTATTCTTTTCCCCACTCTCTTTCCTACCTCCAGGTCTAGGATTCCCAAGGGGCAGCCTAAGCTGTAAAAGACTGTAGCAACAAAGGTGTTCAAGAACTCCATCTTCTCCATGTCCTGAGATGGATGATTGAAAACATAGTAAGGAATAGATCGGAAGAAATCTAAGCTTGTATAGTATTCTTATGAGTCAGGGAGGTTCAAAACCCAACTTACAATCAGGCCCAGCAGACAAAATCTATATCCCACAAATCTTGCTACATTTAAATGAATCCAAAAATTTATACTTTAGCAAAACAGCTTTTGTATGTTCAAAACTTTTCAATAAGCATATTGTATAGTTGGGGTGAACTTTGCATTAGTTGTCAACAAGCAACTCCTACACATCCAAACTATCTCTGAGCACCATGGAAGTGCCAGAGTACAGCCCAAACCCCAGCTGAGCTGAGGCTCCGCTGTTTTCTAAGTGCAGACTGCATCCCTTGTGTTCGCTGGCGTTGCAACACAAAAAAGAAAGGGCACAAGGGGGCGCCTGAAGCTTCAAATATCCCAAAGCTTTCACACCCTGTCTTCTCTGCTATAGTATCTCTTAGTACTACCAGTGCGTAATTCACATCGAGAACTGACTGCTCTGAGCAGCAACAAAAAAGCCCTCAGCAACGCTCTGAGCTGCATATAGCCTAAAGCCAGTTTTGTTACTATACTGACAATATTTTACACTATTTTCATGACCTATTAAAGATTTTAATGTTGTATTTCACTTTCTGTCAGTAAAAACATAAATTAGTTTATGTAAAAATAAAAATCCTTGCATAGGTGAGATTTCAATGGTAGGAAGTAGGAGAATTATCTTCAGAAAAAGCTAAGATGAAAGTCAAATATTTTTGTCAAACTTAGCTTGGCAACTGCCCAGAGTGTGGACTTTGGCAGATTGCTCTCTGGTTATAACAGAAGCCACTTCCTCTGTAGCAACAGTCATATCAACACCATTGTGTGCTGCCTGGGGATGGGCTCTGGGGTGTTTCAGTCCTCTGGGTGGGACCTTTGAGCTGCATAATGTTGCTTATATAGAGCAGAGTGACTGGAAAACCAAAGTCACAACTCCCCCAGCAGCAGCCCTATGGGGAGTTCTCCTATGTGTATCTGGCTGGGAAATGAATTGGGGTATTTTTCTCCCTGCTTTGACCCCGGGAGCTCTGACAACCCTATTCAGCAAAGAGGAAGGCTCTGCCCAGGGTCCTCTACAGCTGCAAATGATTCACACTGGAAGAGACACTTCCAATGAGATTTAAAGGGACAGAGTCTTCCAGAAGTGTTTCATTTTAATATGCAAATTTCTATCATTTCAAGCTTTCTGCATAATGACTGCTCCTGTTGTACAGCCCAGGCTGGCGCATGCTGCATGCTTCAGGCCACAGCAAGAGCAGCAGGCCCAAGCCTACCTGCCCAGATGTGCTGGGACCTGCCTGCTCCCAGAGATATCCCCATGGAAAAACTACTCCCACACTCACTGCCTCCTCAGGACAAGCCAGAGGAACAAATCATACCTTCTGCTCAGGGCCTGCTGCTCTCCTGGTCACCGAAGAACACCATGCAGAGAGGGCCTTCTCAGAACGTTCTTCTCACGCTCAATGCCCAGCCAAAGGAGCAGAGATGTGGCTGATGCTCCTGCTCCTACATTGCATTGCTTTGTTTGCTTCAGGGGTAGGTGGCTTCCCTGCCCATTCCTGCCTTTCCACAGCTCAGCACGGGGTCACAAAGGTTCCAGCTGCTCACTGACAGGAGGTGAACACGGATGATCCTGCAAGTCTCTCCTACAGAAGAAACCATGAAATCCTTCTGCTGTCCGCTCCTCCTGCTCTGCTCCACATTTCCATACGGAGACACATAAAATAGGAGACCCTCCCACGTGGATTTCAAACATCAAAGCAGATCCAAAGTCATCTCACAGGAGGGCCAGGCCTTTCCTGCAGAGGCTGAGGAAGAACATACAACCGTGCTCCCCCCCAGCATTCTTGTGGTACACAAGAATGACATCATTATGCTAATATATAAGACAGGAAGCACAACCAACATAAAAACCCACTGAAACTGAATACATATCAAACACTGCCAATAACACTAACGACTGCACTAAGCAGAAAATGAAATAGTGTTAGGTTCATCTGACTTCTTCCAGTTTTAGTAATCTCTAGGGTCACTCATAACAGTAAAATCCAGTCCTCAGAGAGGGTGCACAGGGCCTTTCAACGCACATGGGAAATGAAGGTTTTTTCCAAGGTGATGGTGACCTTCTAATGTCTTACTCAGTCTAAAAACTGAATTCAGTACTTTGACACCAGTTTAATGACCCATATAAAACTGGCTGGGATTTACACACTGAGTTACACTAGTTCATTGCTGGTGATATTAACCAGCACTTGAATTTTTTTATTTTTTTTTTTTACTACTACCTTCTCTGCACTTAATACCTCCAGCCTCCTTCAGGATGGCTAGTGTGCCTAAACCTGTCCAAACCTGTGCACAGACTTGCCTAGACACAAGTGGCACCATGTCACCTCATCTGAATGAAAACATACAAACAGGATCATCTGAACCACACTTTATTGGTAAGAATTCTTCACATCGACCCTAGAAACTTCTAGGCAGATCCCAGAAGAAGCCAATTTGTGTCCCCTGCCTGGCTTTGGGCCAAGCAGCTGAGAACCTAAGCAGCTGAGAACCTGAGCAGCAGTGCCCACAACAGGGCAGCACTCAGCTGCTGGGAGGCAACACTTCAACGTCCTCAGTTTTCCAGAGAGCTGCGTAAAACTTAGCAATACAACTGTGAGAAACAAAATCTGATCACTGACTGCTGACAAAGCAGCAGGTTCCCCATCCTGCTTCACTTGTACTAGCCCTGGCACTCACGTGACTCCCATGAGAAGCCAATTCAGAGTTAAAAAGCATCAACTGGCTGCTACAAGGAAAGCAATCAGTTTTCTGCTTAATCAGCACACTCAGGTGAGCTCTCCTACCTGACCGACAGTGCCACAATCTAGCTGAACTGGGGGGGAAAGGAAGCTCGCGTTAACCAAGGTAACATGATCAACTTTGCTGAATCATTAAATGATGCTCTACATTACTGAACAGGTTGAAATGAATTGGTAAAGACTCCCATAAGGATATCTGCTTGGCTTACAACTCATTATTACCAAGCAATTAATGCTGATTCCACTTAACTCAGCAGCATGTTCCACCTGCAGGTTTCAGTTAGTTTTAATAGCGCACAACCTGCTGAAGCCAAAGGGGCAGCTTGCAGCAGCCACTCGGTGCTTCAATGCCACATGTCCTCCACTGAACACAGCTGCAATCTTCCAAGATTTCTGAAAAGCTTTCCCATATAAACCATGTTAATTTAAGTCAACGCTAACCTCAGAACTCTTGGAGCTGAGGTCATGGATACATGTCTCCTTTGATTTATGAGACAGAATCTGCACGGCATAATATAAAATGCTGCATCTTTAGCAATGTACCACTGCCCTCAAAAGCTTGTTCATAAAACATAATTTTCTACAACAGAAACGACCCCACACAGAAATTATAAAGTGAAATACAAGCAGGTGTTGCTGTTATTATTCACAAGACGTTTTCAGTTCCCTGTTGTTGGATCTATATATTCTACCTTATGTTTGGAAAATACAGTAATTGTGTCATTACTCTCCCTCGTAATTCAGCAGATCCTATAAACCTGGATGTATTAAAAATATAATTAATCTCCTCAAGCTTTGGAAAATCTGATCTAACAATCCTGGTTTTTAACACTCACACATTTGAAATATAATGAATATATAACTGGTTCATATAGAAAATATTGTGAGAAACAAACAACTCTCAGCTTTAAATAGACTTTGGTACAGAACATGCAGCAGCCAG